GTGCGATTGGCAGAGGACAGAGCAGAGTTTAGGGCTGTTGTACATAGGGTCGCTATGAGTCGCAGGCGACTCGACGGCACATAACAACAACAACAGGTCTTATAAGTTTGGTCCCATTTTGTCTTTGCCTCTAGGTCTTTGAGCCATCTTGAGTTGATAACTGTGTGAAGTATGGATCTTGTTTCAGTTTTATGCAGACCAATATCCAGTTTTGCTAACACCATTTGTTGAAGAAGTTGTCATATCAACATTTAATAGACTTTGATTCCTTGTTGAATACTAATTGACTGTAGATAAATGGGTTAACTTTTGGGTTCTTGTTTCTATTCTTTTGGTTTATGTGTCTGTCATTGTATCAAGGCTATGCTGTTTTGATTACAATAGCTTTAGAGTAGGTTTTGAGATCAGGGAGTGCTGTGCCTCCCACTTCATTTACGTTAACAGAGCTAAGACTAAGAACCACATGATCCCATCATTTGATGCAGAAAAGGCCCTTGTCAAAACTCAACACCCCTTCCTGATAAAAACTCTCAACAAAATAGGAATAAGAAGGGAATTTCCCCAACTGAGTAAAAAGCATATATGCAAGACCAAGAGCCAACATCATTCTCAATGGAGAAAGACTAAAGGCATTCCCTTTCTGAACAGGGACCAGACAAAGATGTCCATTATCACCACTCCTATTCAGTATTGTATTGGAAGTACTAGCCAGGGCAATGAGACAAGAGAAAGAAAGAAGAGGCATCCAAATTAGCAAAGAGTTGATAAAACTGTCACTATATGCAAATGATAAGATAGGGTACACAGAAAACCAAACAATATTAGACTTAATAGGTCAATTTAGCAAAGTGGCAGAACACAAGATCATTATATAAAAAAATTTGTGGGATTTCTCCACAGCAGCAGAAAAAACTAAGAAAGCAATACCATTTATAATAGATAGTCACAGGGAACTCTGGTGGCCTAGTGTCAAGGAGCTGCACTACAATCCCAGAGGTATGTGGTTTGAATCCACCAGATTCCACCAGAAGGAGGGGCAATCTCCTCCTGTACCATTCAGATCTGATTTGATGGTACACATAAAAAAAAAAAAGACAGTCACAAGATGAATACTTGAGAATAAACCTAACTAGAGACACTAACTAAATGTAAAAGGATTTCTTGTTCATGGATAGGAAGACTCAGCATAGTAAAAATGCTATTGTATGGATCATGATAAGTTGTGGCTGGCATTGAGAAGAATGAGAATCCCAGAGCACTTAATTGTGCTCATGTGAAACATATACCTAGACCAGGGGGCTATTGTGCAAACAGAGCAGGGGAGCATTACGTGGTTTGGAATTGGGAGGGGAGTGCCCTAGGGTTGTATTCTCTATCCATACCTGTTCATTCTGTAAACTGAGCACATTACCCAAGAAGATGGACTCTGTGAGGAGGGGTGTGGCATCAGGAGTGGAGGGAGACTCATCAGTAAGTAACCTGCGTTATGCAGATGACACAACCTTGCTTGTTAAAAGTAAGGAGGACTTGAAGCACTTGTTGCAAAAGATCAAGAAATGCAGTTCTCAGTATGGATTGCATCTCAGTGTCAGGTAAACAAAGATTCTTACCACTGGACCAATAGGCAGAATTGATGGAGTGGAGATTTGAAACTGTCAGCAACTTCATCTTGCTTGTATCCACAGTTAACACCCTTGGTACCAGCAGTCAGGAAATAAGGAGACATTGCACTGGGAAAATGTGCAGGTAGGGACATATCCAAATTATTGAGGAGTAGTGATGTCAGTTTGAAGACTAAGATACATCTGATTCAGGGCATGTTTTTCCTGATTATTTGCTGTGCATCCGAGAGCTGGATAATGAACAAGGATGGCAGAAAAAGAATTGACACTTTAGAGCTGTGATATTGGAGAACTCTGAACATCTCATGGATGGCCAAGAGAACAGATATGTCTTGGAAAGGGTGCAGCTAGAGTGCTCTTTGTATGCAAGAATGATGAGTTTGGACGTATTGCTAGGAGGTGCCATTCCTCGGAGAAGGACATGGTGCTGGAAAGGGTGGAGAGTTAGCAAAGGAGAGGAAGACACTCAACCAGGTGGATTGACATGGTGACTGCTACAATAAGCTCTTGTGTGTCAGGAAGTGTGAGGATGGCGCAGGATAGAACATGGTTCAGGTCATGTGTTCATAAGGTCGCTATGAGTTGTACTTGACTCTATGGCACCTAACAAGAACAACAACTAAAAGTAATCTATATATTCAGTGCATTCTCAATTCAGATACCAGACTCATTTTTCAAAGAGAAAAATGAGAAAAAGAGAAAAGGCAGTTGGAAATGAAGAAATCCCAAATAAACAAAACAGTATTTTCTTTTTAATAGTAAAATACTGGAGTCAGCCTAAATGCCCATTAGCAGAATGAAAAAATTGTGGGATGTCCCTCTAATGGGATATTACTCAGCAAGACAAAAAAATAAACTATTGATACACATGAGAATGCATGAATCTCAAAGTAATTATATTGAGTAAAAGCAGCCACATAAAACAAGAGTATATAAGATTTAATTTGTGTGAAATTCTAGGAAATGAAATACATTTATAGTAACAGGAATGTACAGAAATGCTTAGTACAGGGCAAAGGAGGCCCTCACGGTGAAGTGAGAAAAAAACTGCACATCAGTATGTGGATGTGTTAGGGGTTCATTTACTTGATTGTAGTAATGATTTGACTGTAAAAAGTAAAAAAAAAAAAAGTTAAAAGCTTTTTAGATTTTTAAATATTTACAGTTGATTGTATGACAGTCATAACTCAGTAAAGCTTTTCTTGAGAGAGTTCTGGTGGCCTGGTAAGTAAAGAGTTGTGCTGCCAACGCAGAGGCAGTTGCTTCAAATCCACCTGCTGCTTCTTAGAAGAAAGATGAGCCGTCTCCTTCCATGTCATTTACAGCTGATGAAAAAACATGCTTGAAGGTCAGCTATGAGTGTGTTCCAACTCAGTGGAACATAACAAGAAGAAGAAGAAATGTCTGTCCCATTGTGGGAATCCCAGAACACTTGATTGTGCTAATGTGAAACCAATACTTGGACCAGGAGGCAGTCATCAGAACAGAGCAAGGAAACACTACATGATTCAGAATTGGTAAGGGTCTATGCCAGGGATGTGTCCTGTCTCCATACCTTTTCAGTCTATATGCAGAACAGTTAATCAGGGAGGCAGGGCTCTCTGAGGAGAAATGTGGCAACTAGATTGGAGGAAGACTCATGAACAATCTATGTAATGCAGATGGCACAACCCTGCTTGTTGAAACTAAGAAGGACCTGAACCACTTGCTGCAGAAGGTCAAAGACTGCAGCTGTCAATATGGATTGAGCCTCAATGTCAAGAAGACAAAGATTCTCACCACTGGGCCAGTTGGCAGCATCAGGGATGGATGGTGAAGAAATTGAGATTGTTCACAGCTTTAGTTTGCTTGGCTCCACAGTCAACATTCTTGGCACCAGCAGCCAGGAAATGAAAAGACTTATTGCAGTGGGAAAGTGTGCTCTCCAAAGTATTGAAGAGTAACGGTGGCAATTTGGAGACTAAGGTGTGCCTGATACAGGCCATGGTCTTAGCAATCACTTGCTGTGCATCAGAGAGCTGGACAATGACTAGGGATGATAGAAAGAGAATTGATACCTTTGAGCTGTGGTATTGGAGAAAAATATGGAATATACTGTGAACTGCTAAGAGAACGAACAGGTTCATCCTGGAGAGGGTTAAAATAGGCTGCTCCTAGGAGGCAAGGATTCTTCTGAAGCTTTCTCTGACATTCTTTGGACATGTTGCAAGGAGGGACCAGTCTTTGGGAGGGACGTCATGCTTGGGAGGGTGGAGGGACAGTGCAGGAGAGGAAGACCCTCAATGAGATTAATTGATTCAGTGACTGGGGTAATAATTAGGGTATGTGTGTCAGAGACAGTAAGATTGGCACAGGATAGAGCAGGGTTTAGGGCTGTTGTACATCGAATTGCTATGAGTCGCAGACAACTCAACAGCACATAACAACAAGCAATAGTATCACCAAGGATGTTTAGAGGAATAAGAGCATTTAGAGTGGTGAGAGGAGATCTTTAGTGACTTCAATGAGGCCTATTCCTGAGAAGTTGAGATTTTTTTTCCCTCCTAGTTGAAGGTAATTGCTGAAGGCTATGCACATTCAGCTGGCATTATCAGTTACAATTTCTTAAACACTCAATGTTTCTATTTTGATTGTAGCTAGACTCTATATAAATATGGAAATTATACTAAAATTAAGTTTTTAAAAAATTTACTGTTTTGTTGTTGTTGTTTTGTTTCCCCCAGATTTATATGGCTATTTGGAGGAAGAAGAGGAAAGTACCACCGTTCAGAAATTTATAGACCATCTGCTCCAAAAAGATGTGGTGGATTCTGGGATGTTGGAAGAACTTGGAAAGAAGGAAAACCAAGACAAGAAGCAGCAGAAGGATCCTCGTCTTACCATGGAGATGAGACATAAGCAGGTGGGAGGGAAAAACAAAATTAAAATGGATAACAGGAAGCAGTCTTTGTGTAACACATTTAATAAGCTTAAATAAAGACTTGGGCTTTATTATGAAAAAGGGTGCCATCTGTAGTTTGGTTAGAAAGAATAAAAATAAAATATAAGAACTTCAGAAGAAAAATGATACTTATAGGCTGAGGGTAGGAGGCAGTTTATTTTGAATTTTAAAGAATTATTTTAAAAGGCGTAATTGACCAATAAAGTGGTGAACTACACTTTATTAGTTTAGATGTAGGACTTTCTGTTATAAATATGTAGACTTAGTTTTGCTTAAATTGAACTTTTGAATTGTGACATTATTAATATCATGAATATTCTGGTGAATGTTATAATTCTTTTCTAGATGACTGAAATTCACTCATTTGGTGATTATAGTCGAAAAGAGACAACAGATCTGAATTAAATCTAGTTCAGCTGTTTTTCATTTAAAAGACATGTGGAAAATTTTCTTTTCTCCAGAGGGAAAGAGTAATAGGAAAAAACATGGTACCTCAAGGAATTAGAGTAAGTCTGTCATAACGTGCAATTCAGTCGAAGTCTGTCTGTGTATGCTGTCCCTTTATAACACTGAATTTCTGATTGCTAGGTTGGCAGATCACTGCTTTAAACCACAAGTACGTATGTGCCTGGTCTGCATCCTGGGCATGATGAGGGAATGGAGGTTGACGTTTTGACAGAAGGGTGCAGAGAGACTTCATAAGAGATAGCCATTGACCAGAAGTCCTATCACAACTGTAGAGTAAGTTAATAGACTTGAACGAGTCAGAAAGGAAAGACCTACTTATACATACCTAATTATGCCTCTAAAGAGAAAGTGTAGGTTTGAAAAAATTAATAAACCTATTCTGTGGATTGTTTTTTTAATATCCAAAAGAAGTGTCTTAGATAAAAACATATCACTGATATGTTTAAATAATAAAGATATGAATAGTCTGTAATAATCCTTAAAGCAGTAGTTACCTATCCTAGCCTTTACAGTAGAACCTGCTCCCCCCCCTCCCAATACATTTCCTTTTCTTTCTTAAACTGTAATTTGTATACAGAGAAGTCCAAAGTAAATAGTAATTATGAACACATTGAAAATTCTTGTGGATGGGTAATCATTACTAAATAAGAATCCAGAACTTGGACTTTGACCTGTGAGATTCTCAACTTTTCCATGCTACAGTTCATTCCAGATTGTTTGAGAGTCCTTTTAACCTAATTTCAGCTAACATTTTGCATTGGCCTTTAGCCAGTAAGCAAATGAATTCTCTCTATTCTACTGACAAACGGCAAAGTTTTGTGCCAGGATGTTTCCACCACGTATGTGTATGATGCACTACAAATGGAAGGTTTTGCAGATCCATTTCAGCTTGAAAAGCTGCATTTAATACCTCGTATTCTCTTTCAGGTGAAAGAAAATCGCTTAAGACGTGAAAAAGAACTAGAGCGCCAAAGAATGGAGAAAGCCCTGAAAAAATCGGCCTTCTTAGAGGCCCAGTGCCTGGTGCAAGAAGAGAAGAAAAGAAAGGCTCTGGTGGCCAAGAAGGAGGAGGAGGAGATTCAAAAGGAGATGGTAAAGCTGCGAAGAGAGATAATTGAGAGGAGACGCACTGTGGCAGAAGCGTGGAAAACGTAAGCCAGCTCTGATGAGCAGGGTGGGGATTTTCTGTTTAGACCGTGGTGGTTTTGGAAGTGCCCTTGTTTTTAAAATGCACATTGCAGTGACAGAATACAAAAGGAAATCATCCACTAGTTCACCGTCCTCACAAAATAACCATTTTCATATCTCCTCCTGGTCTAGGTCCCTTTATATACATACCTATTTGCAGTCATAGAGTCCATTTACTTTATTATTTTTGCTTGTTGTAATTAACACATTGCTTGGAATCCCAAGATCTTTGTATAACTCCATTGAATTCTCATACCATAACTTATGAAATGAACCCCTCCCCAGACTAGTAAGCATTTAGTCTATTTCATATTTTTGACTAATAGAATTACTATTGCAATGAGCATCCTTGAATATAGAGCTTTTTCATTCTTTTGAATTATATTCTTAGGAAAAATTCTTATGAACGTAATTACTGAGTTAAATGGTATGAGTCTTTTTATGACTCTTGGAATGCTGTCAAATTGCTTTCCAAGTAGGTCTTACTTATTTACGCTATTGCCAACAATAGACTCATTTACCACACTCTTCCCACCATTGGGAAGTATAATCAATTTCAGTATTTCTACAACTTTAATAGGTATAATGTTGATTAATTTGCATATGTTTGGTTCCTTGAACATTTTTAAGGTTGAACATCTTTCCTTGGGCATGTTTGTTAATTGTGCCTGCTCCTGTTGTGACTAGCTATAGTGTCTTGTTTTGTAATATGCATGTGGAATGTCACAATTGCCTTACTGCCCACTAATAAAGGGAGGGGGAAAGAATCTGACATAGAGGAAAACCAAAATAGTCCCCATGGGATAGAGTACTATTATCCACGCTTCACGCAGAAAATGAGCTTCACAAATGAAATAAGCAATGTATATTTATTCTGAGAAACAGCACTGTTGTGTGAACTGAAAAATTCAGCCTTGGAACTCTGTGACTGAAGTGCCTGAACACTCAAATCGAGAGGCCAGGAAGACCTATTAGATTATCCTTTCCACCCCCATCAGCCCACGTAGTTTTCCCCCCCTGTGTTCTTGATTGCTCTTATCCTCCCCAATTTAAAACAGCTCCGCAGTGGACGTGCGCTTCACGCTTTCAAGTGCCAGGCTCAGGCCTCCTCTAGACGCCAGTCCTTTTAGAAGGCAATCACCAGTGCTTAGGAGTTCTTGCTGAGGTCAGCCTTGCTTTTTAGTTTGTCCCTCAGCCTTGAAAAAAACTAGACTGACCTAAAATAAATTTTGAAAACAGGTAATATTTGATGGTAGCAGTGGGCTCTGCTCATAGTGGGTACTCGACAAACGTGCACTGACCAGTCATTCCTTTTAAAAGTGAAAATCCTTTCTGTAGTTGCAGTGACACAGACAATTTGCTACACTTCTCGGTGCATTAACTGAATTTAACTTTTCAAAAGCAATTTGGCAATAAACAAGAGCCATAAAAAGGGCTCTATCTCTTGAACTTTTCCAATCCTAGAAAAACTGTCATAAGAAAATGATCCGAACTGCAAAGATAATTACCATCACATAGCCTATAATAGAGAACAATACTAAATATTGGAGAAATTACTAACCAGTAATTGAAGGAAAGTGAAACGTTATAAGTGGCATATGTTATTTTTGTTGTTGAGGTCATCAAGTTGACTGACCTGTAGTGACCCTGGGTCCAGCACTCTCAATCCTGTGCTATTCTTGCAATAACTGTTAATGTGACCACTGTGCCAGTCTGTCTCATTGAGGACTCTCCTCTTTTTTTTATAATTTTGCTTAACAACGTATGATGTATTCTCCAGTGATTAACCCTCTTAATAATGTGCCCAAAGTATGTCAAAGGAAGCCTCACCTTTATGCTTCTAAGGAGTATTCTGACTGTGTTTTTTCTGCTATAGGCTAGCCATCCCCTTCTGAAGTAATGGACCACAGAAAACTTTGCGAATAACAGTGACATATAAATTGGATTTTCTGCCTCTTCAGTTTTCCACAATGACTACATACACATTTTCATAACATCAGCATTTTTAATTCTTTTAAGTGAAGTCCATGGTTTCAGAATTGTGTTTCTCTAAATGTCCACTATGATATGCCTGTGATTATTTAATATAATATAGTTACCACACTGGTAAGTTAAAAGAGAGGCAGCTCTGGTGGCTTAGTGGTAAGAAATTGTGCTGCCATTACAAAGGTATGCAGTTCAAATCCACCAGTTGTTCTGCAGGAGAAAATTGGCATTCTCTTCTTGTGGGATTTATTGCTTCTGAAAACCCATTGGAGGGTCAGCTGTCAGTTGGTTCTGACTGGACAGTACACAACAACAGCATGATATGCTTCTAACTAATACAATATAGTTACTGGATTAGTAAATTTAAAGAGAGACAGTAAAATTTTATTATTGTTAGGGTTTTTAAATTTATTTGTATATGATCATATATTTGTTTTATGACATAGTTTCTAAGTGTCTATTTCATGATATTTATTAGTTACAGACTGGAAAAATAGTAACTTTATACTGGAAAAAAATGTGGCAGAGCCCACCTTAACCAAGTGATCAGTGTTAAGAGTATTGGAACATTGTGTACTCCGTATAAGAGCCATAAAAATGAATACGAGACTAGATCACACAGAGGGAATACTGGCGGCATAGTCCCTACAGAATTGTGCTGCTAATCCAAAAGTGGCACCTCCGGCAGTTCAAATCCACCAGCAGCTCCAAGAGAGAATGATGACCAGTCCTCTCCCATGTGATTTACAGACTCTAAAAACCTGCTGGAGGGTCAGCTGTAAGTTAGTTTAGACTTGATGACAGTGTGTTTCAGTTTAATTTTGAGAGCAGACAGTATTACTACACATTGGCTTGCTACACATTGGAAGTAACTCAGCTAGATTCAAAAAGCCCTGTTCACACATTGGTAAAAGCCTCTCATCCACTAATCAGAAGACTGGTAGTTTGAACTGATCAGTTATCCCCCAAGAGAAAGATGTTACAGACTACTATAAAAATTAGAGTCTTGGCCAATCTCCCCGGCCTAGATGAAGAGGAAGGCTATTACTGCTAGAGCCTGAGAGTCCTCATGAACCACGACTGGACACCAGCTGGTCTGGACACTCCTCTCTCACTTGCTTCAGCTTCTCCTAGGAGTGTTCCCCATCACCCTATACTCAGAGGTGGCCTGGAGGCTCCTTAGCAGTGGCTCAAGATCTTATGTTCAAAACAATCCAAGTGCAGATACCAAACTTGTTTTTTAAAGAGATAGAAAAAGCAATTGTAAGGTTTATTTAAAAAGGAAAGAGATTCCAAATAAGCAAAGCTCTTCTGCAAAATAAAAATGAAGTGGGAGGCATAACACTACCTCATTTCAGTATCTACTACATAACCATAGTAACCACAATAGCATGGTATTGGTACAATGACAGACACATAGACCAGTGGAATTGAATTGAGAACCCAGAAATTAACCTATCTGTTGTTGTTGTTATTAGGTGCCATCAAGTCGAGTACAACTCATAGCAACCCTATGAAAAAGATATGAACTTAGTCCTGTCCTGCACCATCCTCACACTTCCTGAAACACAATAGACCATTGCAGCAGTTACCTTGTCAGTCCAGCTGTTTGAGAGTCTTCTTCTACTTCACCAGCTCTCTACCCTTCCTAACATCATGTCCTTCTTCAAGGAACAGCACCTCCTAGTAAGATGTCCAAAGTATGTGAGGCGAAGCCTCATCATTCTACCTACAAAGAGAACTCCAGCTGCACCCTTTCCAAGACATATCTTGACTCTCCATGAGATGTTCAGTGTTCTCCTCCAACATAACAGCTCTAAGGTGTCAATTCTTTTTCTGTTATCCTTTCCAAGACCTATCTATTCATTTTCTTGGCCATCTATTGGATGTTCAGTGCTCTTTTCCAGCACCACAGCTGAAAGGTGTCAATTCTCCTTCTGTCATCCTTATTCATTGTCCAGGTTGCGGATGCATAGCTAGTAATCAGAAAGACCATGGCCTGAATCAGATTCTCCTTAGTCCTCAAACTGACATCACTACTCCCCAATAATTTGGAAAGGTCCCTAACTGCAGATTTTTCCATTGCAATGCGACTCCTTATTTCCTGACTGCCTGTACAAGGGTGTTAATTGTGGAACCAGACAAGATGAAGCTGTTGACAGTTTCAGTCTCCTCTCCGTCCATTATGACACAGCCTATTAGTCCAGCGGTGTGAATCTTTGTTTTCTTGATATTGAGGTGCAGTCCATACTGAAGGCTGCATTCCTTGATCTTCTGTAACAAGTGCTTCAGATCCTCCTCACTTTCAACAAGAAAGGTTGTGTCATCTGCATAATGTAGGTTATTGATGAGTCTCCCTCAAATCTTGATGCCATATTCCTCTTCATAGAGTCCAGCTTCTCAGATAATTTGTTCAGCATATAGATTGAACAGATATGTAGCTAGAATACATCCCTGGCACACTCCTTTCCCAATTTTAAACCATGCATTGCTCCCATGCTCCATTTGTACAACAGCCTCCTGCTCCAGATATATTTTCCTCATGGTCATTGTAAGCTAATTAACTGTACCTGATCTCGTTTACAATCAGCTTGTTAAGGAAGCCTCTTTGTGGGCAAACAGGATTTGGTTGGTGGGCCTTGGTATTTAAAAATAGGTCTGGTCCTACCTGTGAGTGAGCCTTTAGCTTGGCAGAATTGGATCCTAGTAGGTAAGTGTTTACTTGAAAGCCAGGGTAAATCATTTGGACATTTCTAAATTATGTTAGCAATCAAGTGTAAGCTGATTAACCCATCTGCCTACATTCAGTTGGTATTTGACAAGAAAGCAAAGCATATTAAATGGGGAAACTACAACCTGTTCAAAAAATAGTGTTGGCAAAATTGGGCATCTAGCAACAATCTACATTATGCAGGTGATACAACCTGGCTTGCTGAAACTGAAGAGGATCTGAAGTGCTTGTTAAAGAAGGTCAAGG